CGGAACCCCTAGCAAGATAAATTTTAATATAGATGATTGTTTTAATAAGATATTGGTACAAACATCCTACAAAACAAACTACTCCAAATTTCAATTACTTCAAAAAAATCGAAGTTATGTTAATACTGCTAATATATCTGTGAATTAGCTGGAATAACCTTGTTTAGGAATCTCACACACACATTTGCAAGGTAACTGGGACTGTTTTGCTTCATGTCTCTTTCCTCATGTTTGAATCATCAAGGAAAAGTTCTTTTTATACCAATGGCAGAAGAGCAGGAGGGTATTGGGGCTAGTTGTGGCATGGTGGTTAAGGTGCTGAACTCTCACATGGCTGATCACATGTGAGTCAGTCATTGCATTCGAGTGCTGGACCCGATGCCTTGCTTTCTCACTTTCCCTCTCTTTCTCTTTCTCCCTGTCTCTATGTGGTAAAATTTAAAAAATAAAAATGATAAATAACTTTTTTTTTTTTTACTGTCTGGTAATGTCCCATTGGGCAAAGCAAGTTCCCAAGCTGAAGTGAAGGTCAAAGAATAATAGTTTATATTCCACCTACTCAAAGTAATCTAATCACAGTTGAATGACGATCTGTAGAGAAAGTTCAGCATGTTTGAAGAAAAGTTGGAAGACCAATGTACTTGAAATATAGGGACAGACAGAAAGGATGCTAGCGAGGGACAAAGACTCACTCAAGTAAATGAGGCCATGGTCAGGCATTTTGTTCTGTTGGGTTGCCAGAAAAGTTATGAAGCATTTTTGCCTAGAAAAACATACAAAAATATGTCATGATTTTTCTGACAACGCAATATGTCTAAAAGAAAACCTTGAGAGTGGTTTAAGCAGAGAATGATGAGAAAAGATCTACATTTCAAGGAAACTCTGGCTACTGTGTGGTGGTTACATGGGAAGGGATCAAGACTTTGTAGGGAGACTACACACGAGGACATTGCTCTAGGTCAGGGAAATGATGGTGCTGTTTTGAACCTGGGAGGTGACAGTGAAGTAAGGAAAAGTAATTGGATTTGGAATCTACTTGCAAGAGCAGAGATATATTTGCAAGAGCAGAGACAGGAAGAACCAACAGAACAACCGATCCGCATTCCCAGCGTTTTGAGAACATGGAAGTGATGATGGAAGGGAAAGATAAATAAATCTTTGTTGAGCTGTGAAACTCAGTTAATCATGGTTTTAGTAACTGAAATAAAGAGCATTAGAGGGCCAGCTGGTGGTCTGGTGGTTAAGGTAGCTGGATCCCACATAGCAGCTGCATGGTTTGGCTCCCAGACCCCAGAGTTTGAGAAATGCCTGGTGTGTGTATGCATGCCCCAAATCCCAAAAGAATGGAGAAATGGAGAAAAGATTCTTTCTCACTTTTCCACTCTCTCTCTGTCTCTTTGGTGCAATCAAACATGCCTTCAGGCAAATTTTTTAAAAAAGAAAAATAACACTATAGGGGAGAATATTTCTAGAAATGAGTTTTGAGTAATCAAAAGTTTTACTTTGGATAGTGAAGTTGACTGATAAAGCTCCATATAGACTCGCTGAAGATGTGGTTGGATACATAATTATTGTAGGTATAGATGCAAATTGGGAGATTTTTAAGGAACTTAGGATTCAAAACTATGGGACTCATAAGAATCACTGGAAAAACTCTTTATCTTAAGAACATAGTTGGAACAATGAGCAAAACTAATATAAAATCATTTTATTCCCAAATCGACATCTCATGTCTTGTTGAGCAAAAGAAAGAACATGTCTCTCACTAAATTTGTTCCTGCTAAATTGTAGCTCAAGTGCATCTGCTGTGTTTCCGGTGTTGCAGGGGCTACAACAATTTTCTTAGGCTTTGTAACAGACAAAATCAAAATACAGAAGGAGAATTTTTAAAAATAAAAACTCATCCCATTTCTTATTACAGATAACTATACTAATTTGTAGGACTAAGAAATGTCAACGAAGAATTGTCAGAAACATTTTTTTTTGATAATGCTTTTATTTTAGTCTTACTCAAAAAGGAGGATTATAAAGATGATCACCTAAGCAGTACACTTAGTGAGGAGTGATTTCGTGGGTATCTCAATATTTACTGAAATATGAAAATCACGATTATAGGTAAAGTAGCAATAACTGCCACGTGGAGCATCCTTAGTTAAATAGGGAATCTCATTAACATGTAAGTTCCAAGCAAAGCATATGCAGTAATTAGAATTTAAGTTGCAAAATATGACTTATAGAAATCCATCATCACTTTTTCCCAGTTAATTACCTATAAGGATGCAAGAGCAGAGACAGGAAGGACCAGAGGGAAATGAGCAGGGAATTTGTAGAGATTATGGGCAAAGCCTGGTTACACATAGACTGAGAAATGGAACATTTGGTTTACATTTACCTAAATCCCCAAGGTCTGGATTATACACATTCTGAGTAGAAGATAGTAGATGCAGCTGTGGGTGTGTGAACAGACATATCTACCTGTACGTCTAGAAAATGAACTTCCGATTGAGCAAAAAAATCAATTGAGTTTGCAGAGTTCAAAATCATTGTTTGATCAGATGAATCAGAGTTACATCTCCGAACAAGAGACTTGTTTTGAGAAGTGGAGTAAATCCACAATTCATGCTAAACACTCAGCTCCTAAATGCACATGTTACCGGGGCAATCTGCTTAAAGGTTTTATTATTAATGTTAACTTTTCCCATCAAGAAGGGGGGAAAAAATGACGAGAGAAAAGATTTAGAAAACTCAGTGCAAAGGCCTATATAAAATATAACAATAAGGGCCGCCAGGTGGTATAGTGGTTAAGGTGGCTGGATCCCAGGAACCAGCAGTTAGCGTAATGGCTATGTTGCTGGACTCCCACGTAGTTGACCGTGGTTCGCCTCCTGGACCCGGTGGCTTAAAAACTCACGCCGGGTACGTGTGCGTGCGTGCCCAAGATCCGAAGAGGAGAACGGAGGAGAAGGGATTGCGGCGTGACCATCCCCCCTGGGGGGTGATTTCTCGCTTTCTGTCTCTATGTCTCTCTCTGTCTGTCTGGCGAGCGCATGTGCCCTATAGCGAAAAACCTCTCCAAAAAAAAAGAAAAAAAAGAAAAAAAAGGTGGCTGGATCCCACAAGGCCAACAGTGCAGTTTGAGTTCTGTACTCAGCAGCTTGAGAAACATATTGGGTGCATGTATATACATACTCTAGCAAACTAAAAATATGCATATGTACATATGTATTTATAAAATATAATGCATATATATTTATATACATATGTATATTGAAGATAATGGTAATAGGAGCTTTAAGAGATGCAGCTGAAATGTTAAAAATGAAAACACGGAGCTTCCCGGCAGTGACGACCTCCCCACGAGAACATGCCTCTGCAAAGGACCTCCTTCATCCCTCTCCTGAAGAGGAGAAGAGGAACCACAAGAAGAAGCACCTGATGCAGAGCCCAAATTCCTACTTCATGGATGTGAAGTGCCCAGGATGCTATAAAATCACCACAGTCTTTAGCCATGCACAAAGGGTAGTTTTGTGCATTGGCTGCTCCACTGTCCTCTGCCAGCCTACAGGAGGAAAAACGAGACTCACAGAAGGATGTTCCTCCAGGAGGAAGCAGCACTAAAACATCCTGACTCTACATGAGTGGGAAACCATCCCAATAAACACATTTTAGATTAAAAAAGAAATGAAAACATGGAAAGAATATGTCAGAAATTTAAAAAAACACTTCAATTTAGATTAGTAACTATGTATCAAGCTCTAAACGACTGAAATCTTCAAAAGGGAAATACAAAGATGAGTGAGTCCTTTCCTTAGAGCAGTTTATGGTTTACAATAAATAGTGCAAACAACGTGTGTGCATTTCACAGAAACTGAGGAAGAGTACAAGTGGACGAGCTTTCTTTCAGGATTTAAACTTGGGAAGATTTAGGGATTAGCTTGTAAAGTAAGGTCTTTCAAAAACGCTGCAGAATTTCATAAAGCGAGAAGTAGGACAGTCAAAGGAAGACAGAGAGCAATTCCAAGTGGTAGAAACAGGCCATGTTTTAGCTATTCTGGCGCAGAAATGTTGGACAGCCCAAGTATCTATTAATAAGATGATGAAGCCTCCAAAAGTACAGGAAAAAGTCATATGGAACTGGAAAACCACTATTCATCAGGTGGTTCCGGAGTTTCCTCATCTCCAAATTAAATAACTGTACAGACCACTTTTTCTGATTGCCAATCCTTCAGACTTCTCTGTTGACTATCTCAATAATTTGCCTAATAAAGGTCTGATTTAAATAACAGTGGCTCAGTTAATGCAAGTGCCTTGTGAGGGCTGAAGGCTCATCATGAATTCAGATCGAGTTTACTGAAAGCATGCTGAGTGCTGAATGGGCATCCAGGACCCTGGGGGGCTGAGAAAGGAACTGTATGTAAGCAGCCCTCCAGGGTGCTTCTCTCTCTCTCTCTCTCTCTCTGTCTCTGTCTCTCTCTCCCTCTCTTTCTCTCTGCCCCTCTTACATGGGAGTTCTCTATCATGAAAGAAAGAAAGAAAAACACAGTAGAAGCTCTGAGACCTACACATTATTAAGGTGTTGCAATTAATAGGTAGCCAGATATGTAACACTCATTTAATGTTAGTGATCCCAAGCTAAAAGCCAATAAAGAAAAATTTTCAAAAGGCAACGTTCAAACTCATTATTAGATATTTCAAGAACTACGCTGAAGAAAGATTTTCAATAAAAAGCGTGTAAAATAAAAATAGTTCTCCAATAGACAGTTGTTTAGGATCCTTCATTAAGGCACCATATAGGTTCTTTTTATTTTGTTTTAATTAATTAATTAACGTACATTGCCAGAGGGTACATGCTCCTGCCAGAGACAAAGAGACAGAGAAAGGAAAGGCAGAAAGCACCTCCCAATTGTGCATGCTCGTGTTGTAATCCCTCCTCCTCCAATTCTCAACCCTGCTAGGATTTTGGTCTCACAAGCACATGAACACAGTGAGTTTTTCAAGCTGCTGGGACTAGTATTTATATCGAGTTTGGCCATATGGGATGTTGTACCCTTCACCAGTAGGCTATAAGGCTGACCCCTCATTTGAGTACTTTTGGGGGTACTTTTAAAATGTAAATATCTATATCCAACATCTCCTCCTAAAACAAATTTTTTAACCAGCTTCCTGTGGCTGGAGGGCATCAATGTTAAATAAAAAAGAGGGTAATACATTTAGACATAATACAAATTAAAGATACAATAAAGTTTATCTATATCATACTTTTTTTTTTTTTTTGGCTTTGCGATAGGGCATGTTCACTTGCTATAGAGAAACAGAGAGAGAGAGAGAAAGAGAGAAAGTGAGAAATCACCCTCCAGGGAAATGGCCACACTGCAATCTCTTCTCCTTTCAGAATTTTACACAAGCATGCACACGTGTCTGGAGTGGTTTTTAAGCCACCAGGTATGGGACTTAAGTCAAATAGTCAGCCATGTGGGATTCAGCCAGCTTACCTCTACACCACATTCTGGCCCTGTTTATCATAATTTTCCCTAAAGAAAAACAATGCGTAGCATCTATTCAATATTGGTTCATTTGACATTAGTTAACACCTGTTCTGTCCCCATCCTCTTCCATTTATCTTATGCCTATACCAATTTTCACATTAACAACCAATATTCATACTATGTACTTAAAATTATTTACCATTATTCTTGCACCCCTTTCTTTCTAATTCATTTGGAAAAAATTTGGCCATCAATTCCCTGAGCTTCACTTATTGAAGTAATTACTTGGGGAAAAAGGAATCACACTTCCTTTTTACTGTTAGACTGCTGCCACACATTTTAAATGATGACTCTTCATGTTTACAATTCAAAAGCAGAGAAAGCTGCTAACTTAAATATTGTGCACAGGATACAGTTTATTGATTGCTTCATCAAAATGGCCTTAGGATGATCCTATTACAAAAGATGGCCTATCGTGAGAGATGAGAATAAGCAAAATCCTCAAAATTCTAAACGTGATTATAAACATAAAAATAAACCTTTTAAATTTCCTTTGCAACCTCTAATGCTGGGCTAGCAAAAAAACATTTTAGATGTATGTATTTAACATTTTTTTGTAAACTATTAATAATTATCCTTTAAGGAAACTTTCTCTGGGTAAGTGTAAATACAATTTACATATTCTGTTTTATGTAAATTCACAAAACAAACTGAAAGTAATAATAGATCGGCCATTGTCAATTTCCTGGAAATTAGGGGCCAGCAAGTGGTGTAGTGGTTAAGGTGCTAGAGTCCCACATGGCTGGCTGTGGTTTGAGTCCCAGACCCAGAGGCTTGAAAATCACACCAGGCATGTGTGCATGTGCACCCAAAATCCCAAGATGAAAATGGAGAAGGGAGTGCAATGCAGCCAAACTCCCTGGGGGAGTGACTTCTCACTTTCTCTCTCTCTGTGTCTCTGTCTCTTTGACAAGCATATGTACTCTATGGCAAAAACCTAAAAATAATTTCAAAAAAATTCTGGACACTTTATTATATGGTACACTTGTCATTTTAAATAATTATTAAAATTTTAGAATGAATTCTTTTCCTGAAGTTTACGGTAAAAGATGGAGAAGTTAATCTTATAGAAATATACTATATATGAAAATCAACTCTTTTTAAGAATTAATCCAAATTGGGACCGGCAGTTGGTGTAATGGCTATGTCGCTGGACTCCTATGTAGTCGACCGCGGCTCGAGTCTCGGACCCGGTGGCTTAAACACATGCCGTGCACGTGTGCGTGCGTGCCCAAGATTCTGAGAGGAGAATGGAGGAGAAAGAATTGCGGTGTGACCGTTCCCCCTGGGGGGTGATTTCTCACTTTCTGTCTCTCTGTCTCTCTCTGTCTGTCTGGCGAGTGCACGCGCCCTATAGCAAAATCCTCTCTCAAAAAAAAAAATAAATAGATAAGAAGAATTAATCCAAATTGTTTTCTCAATTATTGGTATGTGATTAACTTATTTAAACATTAAGCCAGTCTCAGACACCTTTTCCTTTAAATAGTCTCATCTCTAACAGCAGCCTTTTCCAGATTACTCTAGGTATCTTGCAAATCCTAACATAAGAAAAAAGTATCACTCCAAAAGGCATATTGAGCAATTTCCCTCCGGGAACCCAGAGAAAGAATGATTACCATTGTAACTCATGAATTGCGTAAAATTCTCTTAGAAATGAGGCTGTTGTTGATAGTAGTTACTTAGGATTGTCATCCTTCTGAAAGAACAGACTCAATTTCATGGTGAAAAGAGAACTATGATAGGGAAATTTTTAATGCAATGGTTAAAAAAAAACTGTGATGAGGGCATTATACAAAGAGTGAGCAATGCCATTGAGAATAAATCAAAAAGAACAGAACAATGTAGACCAAACGAGAGAAGAATTAGAAAAAAGCAATCATTGATACAATATACATTTTTAAAAATTTATTAAAATGTAAATAGTTTATAGCAGGATTTTATAAATGTAAAATTATTTTTCTAGGACATCCAACTGAAAGTCAGCATACACAGTTCATCCTTCCAGCTACATACCAAAAACAAACAAACAAAACCCTGACCAATTTATTAGGAAATAATATTCTATTCATTAGAGCTACTATGCTTTTTTTTTTCCTATTGATTTTGTTTCCTTTCCTTCAATTATTTTGCTTCATTCCTCTATTATCACTTATTCTCTGCCCATATTTACTCTTCTTCTAGCATATATCATCTAAAATTCACATTAGTTCCAAAACCACAAAACATTTGCTCAGAAGTTTGAGTTATCAAAAATGATCCTAACTCTTCAAGAACTTCCAAGTTGAAGAATCTCTGATTTCATGTATTCGTCCTGGGGATTTGATTTAAATATTTGAAGTAACAGAATTTCTATTTCACAAAGGAAAAATGCTAGTATCTTGAAGTGGATGAGGGAATGACAGGAAATGGGGGAAGAAAGGTACTGAGGGTTCTTTCCCAGGATGCGTGCATGGCAGGGCTTTCGAATGACTACCTCTGTGCGTCAGAAATCCAGAGTAGCAATGGCAATTAGGGATGGGATGATCGTCACTTTCACTTATGGTTCAGAAGTGGGGGAGGAGAACAGGGGGCAAAGCAAGAGGGGAGGAGGAAATGGGGAGAAGGGAGGGCTGATAAAGGCAGAACACATCCTGAAAAGATAATCCCTGGGTATATGACATCATCCTCCTGCTTATACATATATATAGGGGATGGCCAGAGCATCCCTCATATAGTTCACTCACTTTCAAAGCAAGCTGAAAGCTCCAGAGAAAGCCCCTGTCTGTTTCTGACTTTTACGGACTTGGCTTGCTAGAAGGCTGACAGAGATGACGGCAGGACTGAAAATCCAGCTGATATGCATGCTAATCCTAGCTTTCAGCTCCTGGAGTCTGTGCTCAGGTAAGCCCAGCTGCATTTCACAATTCCCTGAAATGATGTCTTTATTCTCTCTTGCTGTGTGTTGTTAATGTTTATGTTAATGTATCCAAGGAGAAGAGTTTCCCCCCCCCCTTATTTAGGATTTGTTTCTTAGTGACAGAAACAGAATATTCTCTTTCTCTGTCTTTATAGGAACTGAGAGATTTATTTTCTCCTTTTTAAATTCGCAAAACAATAAAAGAGATTTCAGTGAAACACTGCATGCCCCCCTTTGAAATGCAACCACTAGAGAAAAAAACAAAATACAAAACTTTAGGCTGGTCATTATCTAAATGAGGAGTACAAAGGCGATGCCTATGCAACCCATTATTAAAACCTATTCCATTAAAAACGCTTACCTCTCATCTTCAGTCAGTCTCCTAGGAGCACAGGCTTATACCTCCCCACCCTTGTAATTGCCTCCAAATTATTTCCTTACCTGGGAGTGTTTTAAGGTAACAAAGTGAACATTGACATTTAACAAAAAAATGAATGAAGTATTATTTGTAACCAATTGTTTCTAGAAAAACAGAAATATCACAAGAACTTCTGAGACTTTATTTTACATAGTCTATGTGACAAATAAGCATTCTATTAATTGAGTTGTTTAAATTTTTGAATGTCATTAAAGTTTTATAAAATGTCATTGGAAAATTGCTATTCTTATAGTAACAGAAATGATTTGAAGTTAGAGTATTTTGCATGTAATTAGTAAGGAAAGTTATATATCCCCCTCTTTCAATAACTCACCTTGAAAATAAGATTTAAATTTAAGGGAGTAACATAAAATATTAAACCAGTATGATATGCTGTAATTCATGTTTGAAAAATATTTCAATGGTCATATTAATAAAGGAGAAAAAAACAGAAGATAAATGCAGCAAAGATCACTTAACCTGTTTTGTGTTTTTATGTATCACAAATATAATAATGAAATGCTAATTCAAACATAATTTTATGTAAATTATGAAATTAAAATCTAGCAAAAATATAAATATGATTTCTGCTAAATTTTATAATTATTTTAATCATTAGAAAAGGACATTGATTTCCCAGTTTTACAAATCTTTTATGAGAATGCACAGTTTTATGCAACTATGATTGTATCTAATGAGATTAAAGGTATACCTAGAGTATGTGGGGAAAAAATGGGTAATTGATGGAACATTGTCTGTTAACTCTTAAAAACTACCTAGTGTGGTAAGTCAAAAAAAAATTTTTTTTTAGTATTGTACTGACTAGTGGAATTTGTTATTACCTTTGCAAAACAGAATGTGTTTCTAAGAAATAGAAGGAAAAGATCTTTTGTATGAGTTAATTCTTAGGTGCAATTTAACCACTGATTTCTCCAAGAGACACGTCTTTCTCATGCGTGTGTAGTTCCGGAAAGTCATTTTTAATTCTGCATTATTTTACAAGATATAGTTAGTAAGTGTAAATTGTCACATTGTAGCATTTTTATAACTATTTCTATTACCTTGCAGTATGTTTTTTTTTCTGTAAAATATTCATTAATAGACAGTTGAAAAGGATATTCTAAAGAAATCAGTCCCTTTTCAACACTACTTTACTTGTGTTGATGGACAGCTCCATTTTTGCTCAATTGCTTCAATAAAATCACTAAGCATACCTAATTTCAAATTCTTCTTTAAAGTACAAAAACAATTCTTTCAATGTGTGTTTTGTAAAATAGCATCTCAAATTAAGTCTCAGTATCTCTCTTATCCTGAACTTGATAAAAATTACCTTTGGTTTTATCTTGAAAAAGCCTCTTGTATATGTATCATTGTTTTAAAAAAACATCACCATGCATAAACTATTATTGGTAAAATCAACCACTATAGTATATTTGATTAAATATCTATTATACGATATAATCATATTTTTAAAAAACTGAGTTCAGTGATCAAACATCTCCAAAACATCAATAGCACTCTTAGCAAACAGTCATGTGATATTTTCTTAGAAATACTTTTTTATTCTAGCTGCTTGTTAGCCTAAAATAAAACTACAGCTTGCTTTATCTGAATATTATTTCAAAGATAACAAATACAAAAAATATATAGGAAAGACACTAAGCTTCTAAAACTAAGTTTTTAGAGATTAAAATCTACATGTTCTAATATAATATATAATGTGATTATAGAGTAAACATGTGGTTTTGATTTTATTCAGATTCAGAAGAGGAAATGAAAGCATTAGAAGCAGATTTATTGGCCAATATGCATACATCAAAGGTAACTTTTTCTTTTCTTTAACCCAGGGTTGAAGAACGTATTAACTCTCATTAAAAACATGGTGTTCTTTTCCTATCGTAATAACTTCCTATCCAGACTGCAAAAGTCCATGAGAGACATTTCCTTTTTTTGAGAAACTTTTCATTGAGTTCAAAGAAGTTGAGAGTATTGATGAAACGAGGAAAGAAACTATAATGACTATCACTCAGTCTATTGCATCTTAAATTAAGTAGTCACGTATTATTTATGTAGACAGGTAAATGGATTGAAAGAAGCTGTTTCCATAGCTAGTACACCAACTACAGTGTAAAGTACACTGATCTCAAGTTAAATACATGAAATGAAAACTAAGAAAACATTTTTGCCTTTTCTATTCTGTTAGGGAAAAATATAATTGTGTTCCTAAATTTAAAATGAAGCTTATAACAACCTGCAAAGGAAATGTGGCAGACTAGCACCAGGAGCCTCAAGATCTAATCCTAAAACTCATTTAAGAACTGCCTGATTTTAAGCAAGTTAATTCATGTCGTTTACCTTCATTTTCTTATTTTTAAGTGCAGGGGTTGATGGTCATGATTTAGATACTATTCTGCCATATGTTTTAAATTATTAACCTGTTCTCTTTATTGTGTGCCTAGATTTAAATTCTTCCCAAGACAGACGTGTTACCTGTACCTATGGGTTTTTTTCAATGAACCAAATACAACTTTGTGTTCTGGGCCCTATGACTCCTCTTCTGCATTCATGAAAACCAGTTTTCTACTTCTCAATCTGTATGTAGTGATAAAACTTAATTAGAATATACCTGATTACCATGCTACCATATAATACTGATGTATTCAGAGTGAGTCACTTAGTGTATCTAAAGGAGAGATCAAGGTACAGTTTCCCAAACCAAACAGGTTTCTAAAAGAAATGCAACACATACAGGAATGCATGCAGATGGAGCAAATGGGTGGTGGAACATCACGCCACCAACAGAGTGAAAAAAATGGGATGCTGCCAAAACAAAAACAAGTACAACCAAAACTGAAGGTTCACATCATAACCTAGTGTTGCTTGTTGAAAACAAATATGGTAATATGCTTGACCTGGTTATTGAAAATTGCATGCATGCTGTGAAAATCCATATGGTACCCCACAAAGATGTACAATTAAATGTAAGTAAGGGATTAGAAAGAAAAAAAAAATCAATTTAGATATAAGGTAGTTACTTTGGGTGCAATCACTATGACAGCACTGGTTTACCAAGACTGGGGACTCAACAGATTATTATGGTAAAAAAAAAAAAAGTAAGTGCTTAAGATTTTATCTGATTTTTAAAGTTATGTTTTGGCTCAAGTTCTGCAAGCTTGGGTTCCTGTTTCCTAACTGAAAGAACATTTCTAGCACAATGATAACTGATAAGCCCTATGGATCTCCAAAAGTTTGGGGAAAAGTGCACTAGAAAAATACTGAAGATTTAAAAAAAAATTGTGCCAAAAAACTCTATTTTTCACAAACTTTTTGAAATTCTTTCACACAAACAGGATTACATTTGCTAGTGGATGTGAAGAAAAATACCCAGTTTTGTATATGTATATTTGAGATGGAGGGCATTATTATCTCACTACAATTAAAGGCATATTTTCTTTTAGGGTCTTAAAAAGACATTTGAGAAAGCTTTAAACACGTACATGTTTACTTCATGGCCCAGATCTACAAACATTGATTAGATAAGAACCGAATGCTGTCATAATTTTGTAGGTCCATTTCAGGAATGATCAAATTTACTCTAGTCATTAAAGCTCAATGATCAGATATCTTTGACTTTCTGATGACAAATCAATTGTTTAGCTCTCAATAGTCATGGCTACAATCTCTTTAACTCTAAAACAGGAAGACAATTAAAGTCAATAGTCTATGTTAAAAAATGGGATACATGAGAATGCCTTGATGTCTTGGCATGAATTTTACCTCTATAGTTCCCAAGCACATTGACACACCAAGGTCCTAAATAATCTCCAAAATGTGATATAATTTAGAGACTGCTAGCTATTTAGAGAAAATGCAAGGTATATTTGTATTTTCTTCCTTGGCCAAGATACTGCAAGAGAAAAATAATTTCAGTGTATAGTTTCTCTTGTCCCTTACAAACAATATACTGCAAACTAAAAACACACACTTTTTTTTTTTTTAGTTATGGGATATATCTCTAAAGAAATCAAGGAAAAAATAGAATTCTAAACTCTTCATTTGAGATAAGCATATGATAAGTAGATACCCAAAATATAGTTATTCCAATTTTGCTGCTAGGATAACAACAAGTTCATTTTTTAATTTTTTTTTTTTGGTCGGGAGAAGTTTTTGCTATAGGGCATGTGTGCTTGCCACAGAGACAGAGAGACAGAAAGCAAGAAACCACCCCCCACGGGGTATGGCCACACCACAATCCCTTCTCCTCCATTCTCTTCTCAGGATCTTGGGCACACCTGCACACCCGAACATGCGCCTGGCATGAGTTTAAACCATCAGGTCCAGGACTCAAGCCATGATAGATTACATGGGAGTTCAGTGACATAGCCATTACGCCAACTGCTGGTTCCTAATTTTTTACAACAGTACTTTATCATTCATTTCTCTGTGAATAAATCATTTTTTTAGGTAAGACTTTTTTTTTTGGAGAGGTTTTCGCTATAGGGCGAGTGCGCTCGCCAGACAGACAGAGACATAGAGACAGAAAGCAAGAAATCACCCCCCAGGGGGGATGGTCACGCCGCAATCCCTTCTCCTCCATTCTCCTCTCAGGATCTTGGGCACACACGCACGCACACGCGCCCGGCGTGAGTTTTAAGCCACCGGGTCCGGGACGCGAACCGTGGTCGACTACGTGGGAGTCCAGTGACATAGCCATTACGCTAACTGCTGGTTCCCTGTGAATAAATCATTTTTGATGTATGAATAGTCCTATGCAAATGAGAAACCTAAAATTGTGACTGTTTTTAACCAAATTGCTATATTAGAAATTTCACTGAGAACAGTATTTAATGTATGTGTGAGTACAACTCCATTACCAAAAGCTTCAGTAAGCTTTAGCTTACCGTGTTTCATTTTATCACTAAAATATGTGAACAATTTTAGAACGAAACTCTTTAGACATTGAAATACTAGTGTTGAGGTTTCTCTAGGCAAAAGAAGGCTAAGAGAGATTCCCAAGATAAAAAAAAAAGAAGTGGTAGATGAAGAATATTTTTCTCACAATATGATTCTTTTAATTACTGATGCTAATACTGAGGTTTTAGTATGGTTTTATTAAGAAAGAAACCTTGATACACTATATATTCTTCAGGTTCTCTAAAAGGCGTTGAAATATTGTATTTTTATGATCAAATTCAATGCTTTACATACGATAGGAGGGAATATAATACATGTTTATGAACTAACAATGATCATCCGGAATTATTACTAATGTTCATATTTTACATTTAAATATAAATATGCAAAAATTCTAGGCCTCCTCCTTAGATGGCTTTAATACTTTGCAATAAGGTGAAATTCTTGAATTTACCATCAGCTGAACTTAACTAAGTTAAGCATATTAACAAGTAGAGAGTACTAGTCATAGTGCTTAGGTTAATTAAGGAGACAGAATTTTGATAGGCCCTTAACCAAATTGCTTCATTAGAAACTTCACTTACTCTGTACTAGAAAGCTAGATCTTTATTTTTTAAAACTTCATACAAATGTTTTCATATATATTTCTCCTGAGACATCCTTTGGTCAAGTGCACTCTGTCCACTGTGGTTCTTAGATACAATAGTGGCTAAGATGACATTTAATAGTATTTTATAGTACATGGTGACTATATTAACTGACTAAAGGAAATGAGATGATTAATGTAGGTTTCTCACTGACAAAATAATCAAGTTACAGCAGTCCTGACAGATATTTTATGAAAAAAAGTAGTCTGTTGTCAAATTAGTGTGGGGAACATTGGATACTGTATACATGGAAAAGCCACGATGAACATGTGCATGCAGAAAGCTTGGAGGATACATAAACTTATAAAACCTTTATGTTTTTCCTTAAGCTCAAGTTTTCCAATCTGCTTGACAGTGGAACTCCTTTTAAAAATTAGTGAGCAGCCCAGCCTGATGACACATTCAGTGGTAAACTGAACTGTAGTCCTGAAGGTCACATGAGTGCCCATGGGTGTGCATCACTGGCAGGCTTGAAAACATATCAGGTGCCTGTGCAGGGGCCCAAGATCCTGACAAGGTGGGGGAAGGGGAATCATTGTGTAAGGAGACCCTGTCTAAAGTACTTCTCTCTTTGTTTCTCATTTGAGTAAACCTGCTTTCTATTACAGATAAAATAAATAAACTTTAATAATAATAATAAAGTCAATGAGTGCAGAACTAGTTTTCTGAGCAACATATGTTGGAAAACATTAAAATAGATGATGTCTAAAGAACTTCCCAAGGGTAAAATATCTTGCACTGGTGGCTCAGTGGCAGAATTCTCACCTGTCAAATTAAAATAGGGTAGAAGGTGTTGTTGCCATGAAATGGAGCAGATTGCTCCCAGATAGTCTTCCATACCAGAAAAATCCAAGCAATGACTGGGTAATCACATTCAAGGGAGTAGTAGAGAGGATTTTCAAGCCAGTTGAGAACATTGTCCTGAACACCTATGTGCTCATAAACTTGTAAGTCCTTAGAGTAAACTCTTAATCAAAGAGTATGCACATTTACAATTTTAATTTAATTTATATTTGATATAAATTAAATATATTTAATGTCTCCCAAATGCCTTACAAAAAGTTTTATCAAGCTATACAGGCCAATAGATATTATGCAGAGGAATACCTGCTTCCCCATGCCATGGTTAACAGTGAAGGTACTATATTTTCAATTTGATAGTAGCCAGGATAAATATCATCATATTTCTTTTAGGTATTTCTTATTTAATGAGTAATGCTATAGTATTTATACTTATATGACTTTTTGAAGGTTCACATTTTTTAAAAAAAGGGTTTTTTTGTTTTGTTTTCCCTTGTGCTTTTTTTGTGTGTTTTCTTTTTTTTAACGGGTATTTTGCTTTAGGGCACACATGCTTGCTAGAGACACAGAGAGAGAGACAGAGAAATAGAAAGGGAGAAATCACCCCCCATGGGGCTGGCCATGCTGCAATCCCTTCTCATCTGTTCCCCTCTTGGGATTTTGGATACGCACACACACATGCTTGGTATGAGTCTTAAGCCACCGGGTCTGGGACTTGAACCATAGTCGACCAAACTTGGGAGTTCAGCTATGTAATTGTTACGCCACCTGCTGGTCCCTATTGTTTTTTTATTTTTCAAGCTGGGAAGTCACCATTTCTTTTGGAAGGGCCCCACCTGTGGTAAGGATTTTAACATATTGTTGATTTTAGTTCAAGATGTTATGTTTCCACAAAGATATTTTATACATGGATGTATTTAAAATGATCTTTTTCCTTGTGGATGCTGGTCTAGATATTTACTTATTGATGTCTCCAGAGTTATAGAAAAAAATTCACATGTTTTCTCATTATTTAGTTTTTACTCATATTTAAGACATTCAGATATTGTTTCATTATAATATATAAAGAGAGGATATAACTAAATCTATATCCAGGTTGTCCCATAGCTAACTGTCCCAAAATATTTAAAGTTCAATCTTTGGTATAGGTGCCTTATGCACTTGGATCAATTTTTGAACATTGTATTATCTTTTGTTGGGTTTCATATCTATTTCTGTATTATTGATTTACTGCTTTTATTATTACAGCTTTAAAAACATTTTAATATTTGGTAGAGTAAGTCCCTCCTACCTTTTTATTTGTCTAATTCCTCTTGATTATTGTCCCCCATTCATCCTTCCAAATTAACTTTAGAGTTACTGCCAATTTCCTTATCCATCTTTCAACCTCCCCATATTTTCCAAACTGGAATATTGATTTGCAACCACATTCTTTTGGGAGAAGTAAGTCAGAAAAAATCTTCTGATATTACTATTATTGACTCTTCTCATCGTGTCTTTGTCATCATTTAAAAATTGCTGTAATGAGGATCAGTAGGTGACATAATAGTTAAGGCACTGGCCTTCACGTGGTTGACCATAGTTCAAGCTCCAGACCCGGTGGCTTAAAACTCATGTCATACATATGTGAGTGAGTGCCCAAAATCCTGAGAAGAGAATGGAGGAGAAGGGAGTGTGTGGTCATCCTTCCTGGGGGGTGATTCTTGCTTTCTGTCTCTGTCTCTCCAGTGAGCACATGCACCCTATAGCAAAAATCTTTTAAAAAAAACGTAATGAACTTCAGGAAAAAAATTTGTAGTTTCCTTCATCTATGCCCTCTTTAATTTTTAAAAAAGTTATTTAATTTTACTTATTATTACTAATATATATTTTTTTAATTTGCTACGGGGCACATGCACCTCCAGAGAGAGACACAGAGGAAAAGTGAGACAGCAAGCCTCTTGGTCCAGGACTCTAATTGCAGTCAGCCATATGAATGTCCAGCACCCCAGCCACCACGTCACCTGCTGCCCTAACCCTTTGAATTTTTGTGAATATTTTATTAATTATTTCAGTTACATTCTCTTACCTCCTTATGTTTCGTATTCATTATTGTTGACACATAGGAAAGTTATTGATTTTGATAATTATGACTTTAGGCCATCTCTTACTGGAAAAGAAAGGTAATTCCACAAAATATTAAAATATGCAAATAAATTGGCTGTGATGCTACCTATGACAACTAATAATATGTGGAATATATTAATGGCCTCACACTTGTGCAGTGGTCCAAATTTATTAAAATCAACTTAGTCCTTGATCCATTAACACTAAGCTAAAATCTAAAAAATGAGACAATGGCACTTAGGAATTATTAATATTTTAATCTCTGAAATATATACATATATATATTTCTAGTAGTCATTATTTCTATTTTATTACTTTCTTACTTTGCTCTGTGGGCATAACTTTCGTGGTTTATTTATTTATTTTTATATTCAACAACTATCTATACTACAGCTTGTAAAATGAATTTTCCCAGCATGAATAAATACACTGTGCCTTAGTCCACTTAAAAGTGTTATCATACATATCATCATAAACAGATAATTTTCCATTTATAGATTCCTTAAATGTTTTGCTTTTTTACCCCTTCATTCCCTTCCTCTAACTTTAATGCATTCTAGCAAATAGAGGGTATGAGGTATTGGTATGATGCTACTTTGTGACATGAAGGTACAAAGTTAGAAATAATGTAGTTACTGGACTAGACTAACAAATAGATCCTAAAGTGTAATGGCTTACCAAAATTTTACTCATAACAGTGATCAATTGAGGCCAGCAGATGGCAAAATGGTTTCTAGGCTGGACTCCTACATACTTGACTGTCCTTTGAGTCCCAGACCCGTTGGCTTAAATCTCATGCCAGGCATGCATGCGTGCATGCTGAAAATCCTGAGAGGAGAATGGAACAGAAGGGATTGCAGCGTGATCATCCCCTCTGGAGGCTGATTTCTCACTTTCTGTCCCTGTCTCTCCTGCAAGAGCACACGCTCTGTAGCAAAATTGTTTCAAAATTTTAAAAAGTGATCAATTGCAAAATCTACTATTTTTCCCATATTTCAGATCAGTAAAACAAATGTTCCCTCATGGAAAATGAACCTGCTAAATGTTTGCAGTTTTATAAAAAATGTGAACAGCCAACCCGAGGAAATGGGAGAGGCCCGTGAAGAGGAGCTTGTTCCAAGAAGGAAGTATCCTACTGCTCTAGACGAATTTAGTTTGGAAGCAATGCTGACCATGTTCCAGCTCCAAAAAATCTGTCGCAGCAGGATCTTTCAACACTGGGAGGTAAAATGAAAACAAAAAATAAATATAATTATAGTTATACTAGTTAACTCTCATTTGTCTTGATTTTTTTTTCAATCCTGATTATTATCATAACAGGAAGACTTATAAATATTAAAGAAGAATGAACCATATGTTGAGGTCAACATTCCTTCACATCTACAAAGTGTCTTTCAAATATTTCCTCCTTTAGCAAAATATTTTCCCTTCATTTTTACAGGGGGGTTCTATATTAAGGCAGATTTCATACATATGCTTTTATTGTGCTTAAATGAATAGAATACTTTGGCAACTTCTGTTGGCGGTGATGGTGCACTGAAGAAATTTAAGGAACTCAAAATATTTTCCTAGAAACACAAGGTCATATGTTCTTATCCATAAACAAACAGAATACAAAAGTTTCTAAGTAAAACTAGAATAAAACACAAAAGTTTTGTTTTGTATTTGAATATATTAAATGAGTAAAAATATATACAGTATGTTTTTATATATATAAAGTATGAGAGAGAGTTTAACTCTGTCATGCCTATTTTAATAAGATTTTTTTAAGGAATTATTTCATTTTATTTATTATTTTAAATTGTCTACAGGGCACATGTGCTCACCAGAGAGAAACAGAGAGAGAGAGAGAGAAAGTGAGAAAGGAAGCAAACTGCTAGATTTGAAACTTGAACCACGGTCTCAACCATGTGGGAGTCCAGCACTCCAACCACTATTCCACTTGCTGGCCCAAGAATCTTTTTTTAAAAAATATTAATCAAATATAAAATTTTAACAATTTATATAAAATATACACTATAAGGATATATATCTTTATTATCCTGGTTTTATTTGGAACCCATTATCTTGTATGTTTGTTTATATATACACATAAATCTGTCTGTGCATGTATGAATGCGTGTGTCTGTATACACATGCACACACTCCTATTTTAATTCAATGTGTGAATTTTAGACATTTTTCACAACCAGACTAGATCCACCATGTTCAAGACAGTCACATTTCATTACAGAGAGCTACAGTGAATAAATGGATAAATCAGTTGTATTAAATCTTGCACTAATTTATTGCCTTTGTTTTGCATATGTTTGCTTGTTTGTTTGGATATCTTTAAATATCTAAATGATGAAATTTGGCTTGGTAATGTCCAAAGCCAAACACATAGATCCAGAAGTTTAATTGAAAATAATTAATAGTTCTTCCTTGGTTCACATAATCTAGATGTATGGCTTCAAACCTATAAATAAGCACAGTAATGAAACGAACTCAACATTTTACACATAGTCTGATGAATACCTATAGCCACCAAAATTATGTTTATCCATATCTTGATTGTGACAGCCAAGTAGATATTCTAAAACCCAAATTTTAGGGGCCAGCAGATGGCATAATGGCTACATCACTGGACTGTCATGTAATCAACGGCAGTTCAAGTCCCAGACCTAGTGGCTTGAAACTCACACGGGGTGCATGCACATGTGTGCCCAAAAGATCCCAAGAGGAAAATGGAGGAAAAGGGATTGCAGCATGGCTATTCCCCCACCCTGGGTGGGGAGTGATTTCTTGCTTGCTTTCTCTCTCTGTCTCTTTGGTCATTGCACACACCCAATAGCAAAAATATCTCTCTCTAAAAAAAAGAAAAGGAGAAAATAAATGAAAAAAAGAAAATTAAAAAAAAATTTAGACTTTTTCCTCTTTCAACACATAACTTTAATGCTTGTATCATCCCTTGGGTATTTCCAAAGTTATAGTAGGTTTTTCTGAATACTAGATTTTACTTCACCCACTTCTTTCCTACTGAAGAAATAAATAAAGCATGACTTTATTAAAGGTATAATCTTGAATATACTCTAATATATCTTTAAGAGAAAAAAGTTGCAAAATTGTGCAATTAAACAATTATTATAGTGTATTTGTGAAACATTTTATCATTTATGGCCTTATTTTGATATATATTGTTCAAAAAGATAAATTAGAGCTTTTTAAAGAGATGGGAAAATATTGGGGCTAAAGAAAGGATGAAGAGAAGAGAACTTAATGGTTTAAAGAAAATAATCTGAATTTCCTCAACAGAGGAAAATTTCTCTGTAACTTTTGCTATTTTAAGTGTTACTGAGTGATTTAAAAATAATGATAATATTATTCAGAGCATAGTACAAGTAATTATAGACTATGTACAGAGAAACTAAAGATTAGGAAACTAGATTGTCTGACAGAAGCTGTTTTTCTTTCTCTGAAATTGAATAGCTGTGGGTTGAAACAAAGTTCTTGATGATATGATTTTATGCATATGCATTATAATTTAAAACTTACTGTCTCCTTTAGTATTAGTTATAGTGACCTTAAAGTTTAGAAGATAACAAATGTCAAACATTTCTTACCTTGAACATCTTAAAAATTGTTATGTAAGTTGTGTGTAAAATTCTGTACAAATATTCTCAAATATTTTATGATAGCTGATTTTTTTCAGAACAGTATCGTAGAAAAGCTATTCAAAATTAATTTTAGAATGGGGCATATTTAATGAAATATTAGCTTGACTCTGCATTCAGATGAACTGTTTTGAGTTATTGAACATGAAATTGCTTGCATAACAAAGTACTACAGTCCACAGAATTCGTAATCATTTAAATAGAGTGACTATATTGACTTCTGCAACAACTGAGTAAGTTAGGCAGTGTGTTTCTCTGCAATTGAAAAATAAAACGTTGTAATGTTTTTTAAATTGAGTCAACAAAATGAGTTACCTGAATATGAAATCCGGGTACCTTTCCAGCCAAACTTGGTTTAGCAGATCCAAAACAGTGTTTGTTGTGATATATTCCATCCCATTTTGGTTATTCCATCATAAATTCAAGCTTCAAAAATACTTTGCAATCAATTTGGTGTTTTTCTTCAGTTGAGAAAATGAGGGTTTGTCTTTAAAGTTTATAGAAATTCTAAATAATGACTAACCTGGTAAAGAAAGGACACTGAGCAGAGAAGAAGGATTATGTTCTTAGCCCACCCTAGATGCTTGATAGCATCTGCTCTTTGACAAAACTTTTAATTTCTTTGAATCTCATATATCTTATCTACCTACACATACCTTATTGTCTGAATAGCAAATAGGATAATACGTAGAAAAATGCTGTGATATGGAAGATGCATGTCGGTTTTACCCATGTTCTCTCTATCTTGCAGTTAATTCAGGAAGATATGCTTGACACTGGGAATGAGAAAGATGAGAAAGAAGAAGTCATAAAGAGAAAAATTCCTTACATTCTGAAACGGCAGCTGTATGAGAATAAACCCAGAAGACCCTACATACTCAAAAGAGGTTCTTACTATTACTGACAGGATACACATTTTGTTTTCATGTGATTGTGATTTATCATCCCCTAATTGAATATCAAATTATATTTGTGTGAAAATGTGACAGAACATGTTTTTGTCTCTTCTATAACTGTGATTTGGATTTCATTGGATGTGATTTTTCTGCATTAATATAAAGTGGACTAAATGTTTTGAATAAATTAAGATCTTGAGCATGATGTGCTGTGTATAATTGGAGTAACTATTAATTAAGTCACATTGAGAATGTTTTATAATTTTGCAAAACACATTATGGGCTGTTTATACAGTTAAGACGTTTGACATTTTATACCAAATTGTAAGCAATTACAGTGAATCTCTATAGTGAAGTCTAGTCTATGTATCATTAACCTAAAACAGAGTAATAACACCTCTTTTATTGTTTGACTGGATGTTTTATTGAACTGAGAGACAAACACGCTCTTCTCTAAGACTTAGGCAATTCTCAAGTATAGAAGTTATTGTGGTAAGATAGGATCATCTGAAAGAGTAACTAATGGACTGCTATTAATTATATCTGTTCTAATGAATGATCTTCAACTGAATTTTTTGTCTTAAATTATCTTGATAGCTAATAAAAAATAAGCCATCAGAATAATATGCTTCTCTGCAGATTTATTTCCATTAGAAAAATTACTTTTTATTAGCTTATTTTTTCCCTTTTTTACATTTTGACCTAGTAAATGGTAGCTTTATTTTTAACTTCATGGGGGTTTTGTGAGAGTAATATTTTTCCCAGTTGTGAGGACGTATTTGAGATGGAAGCTAAGCTTGAAGTATCTCCTCTTAAATTTTAAGATCATATTTGTGGTCTTATTATTCCTCAGAGCCCTTATATTTACCATTGTTTGTGACTCTAGATTCTCTTAGAGCATTTAGGAAGACTTCCCTTCACAGGGTTGCAGTTTAGCCTATAGTCAGCTATGAAGGATGAAATTTGAGCTTGAGTTGTCCAGGAATTAAGGAGCCTCTAGAACATCATACCATTTTGATAAGATCTCCCTTTCTTAGGCTTAGAACCATTACTTCTCACTACTTCCATGCCATTTTTAGCTTCAACATTAAATAGTGTCCAAGGGACTTATCATAAGGGAAAAAAAAAAAAAAAAAAAAAAAAAAAAACAGCCAACCGACCATTTCACAGTGATTACGGAAGTGTTCTCTGTAGTCACAGTGCCCAGATTTAGTTCCACTATTCCCTAGCAACCTTGGACAACCTCTTTAACATCTGATTCTTCAACCATAAAATGTGGATAATGAAGAGGTTTGGGAGAGGATAAATGGACTGATGCATGTAAAATACTTAGAATGGTGCCTTAGACAAATTAATAGCACATTAAAGTTAATAGCTATTATTACTGGTAGTAGCAATGGTACAAACTTCCCCATAAGGAAATAAGTGTCAGATGATGTTTACTTTATTAGTCAACAAACATTTAACCCTCCACCAAATGTAACAACTACCCTGCCTCTGTCCTCCAGTCTCTTCATCCCCTTCCATCTCAGTAGAAGGAACTCTCTCTTCCTAGGGACACTCCTTCACTTCCAAATCTCTGTAAATAGTCCCAACTTCTGCTAGGCTAAAAGATCCCATCATCATTTTTAACTTTTCTCTTTACTATATGCCCTTCATGTAATCCATTAGGAAGTTTTGTTGGCTTGCCTTTAAAATACATCTCAAATCTATCTACTTCCTGCCATATTTATGATTACTGTGTGTAGTCACTATTTTTCCCCTCTTAGATTTATGGCATATTCCCCCCTATCCTTTCTCCCTGACATCTTTATTATTTATTTATTTACTTTTTACTGCTAGAGGGTGTGTGCACTGACATGAGAGAAGGAGACCATCCCTAATAGGGCCTGGTCATCCCACAATCCTTTTACTACAATGATCTATCTGGACAGAATCTTGGGAACCCATGTGTAGGTCGTGCATGCTTTATAAACAGAGGCTGGGATTCAAACCTAGTCAGCCATGTGGAATCTGGCTTCCTCTGTGCAGTGCTAAACCTCCATACTGCAAGACTTGCTCCTTGTATCATTTTTATCTCTCTAGAGCCACATAGTATAATTCCTTTTCTGAAATCATAAATCTAAAGGCACATACCCTTTCTCTAAATCCCACAATGGACTTCCAGTTTCCGGTCCAGCATGTAAGAAGCTTAGAAGTCCCCAGTATATCCCTTGAAAAGCTGAACAAATGGAAAAATAAATATCTTTCTAGAGCCATAAAAGAAGAAAGATCACAAGACAAATGGCTACCCCAGAGTTAGAGAGACAGACAGGTAAATACAGAAAATGTCCATTTAGTGGAGCAGAAGTCTATAAATGGTGGTCTCTGTGTGACCGGGCACCAGGTAGGAAACTTGAACTGTAGTTAACAAATTGCTGAAGGCTCAAGTCTGCACATGTCTGAGAGGATCCAGTCTTTCGGGTCCTCCATGTTTTTGTGAATTTTAGGAGCTCCTTCTGATTGTCACAGTGAATGTTAGAAATCTTCTTGTCGGGAACCAGCAATTAGCGTAATGGCTATGTCGCTGGACTCCCATGTAGTCGACCGCGGTTCGCGTCCCAGACCCGGTGACTTAAAACTCACGTCGGGTGCGTGTGCGTGCGTGCCCAAGATCCCGAGAGGAGAATGGAGGAGAAGGGATTGCAGCGTGACCATCCAACCTGAAGGGTGATTTCTCGCTTTCTGTCTCTATGTCTCTCTCTGTCTGTCTGGCGAGTGCACACGCCCTATAGCTAAAATCTCTCAAAAAATTTTTTTTTCTTGCCTTTTGGCAAGTGGAGGGGAAAGGGAGTCATTAAAAAAAAATATGTCAAAGCATTCTGTTATTCTAAATAAGGTACATCCTCAGGAGAAACTTTAATCAGTCTAACCTGCTGAGATTTTACCTGAGCCCTCCTGAATTAGCCCACCAGCTTCCTAGAACCATTCCATTCCACCTATGGAGGTGGGGCAGAGAGTAAACCGACAGGGATGTTGGTACAATACAGAGGTTCAGGCTCAATAAAAGAGTGAGACCTACTCAAAGGTCTAGAGAATGCTTCTCCTTCCCTCCTCACACATTAACACCATGTTACTAGAGACTTACTTAAAGCGGTTTCTTTTACTAATTTATCATGTTGGGACATCAGGAAAAAATGACAAGACATACTAAAGATCATTTTGGATTCTGTTCCAAAATGATCAAGAACAAGAGTGCCGTTAGATATTCTCACTGGCAATTGAGATCTTCAATATTTTGCATTGTGCTCATTCTAGCTGGGTCTCATAGGGTGGTCACTTTGGAAGACATTTTGGTGATCTCTTACCAAACCAAACATACTCTTTTTTTTTTTTTTTTTGAAGAATTATTTATTTGTTTGAGACAAGCAGTTAGCGTAATGGCTATGTCGCTGAACTCCCATGTAGTCGACTGTAGTTCAAGTCCCGAACCCGGTGGCTCTGACCCTGTGGTTTAAACTCATGCCGGGCGTGTGTGCATGCGTGCCCAAGATCCCAAGAGGAGAATGGAGGAGAAGGGATTGCGGCGTGACCATCCCCCCGGGGAGTGGTTTCTCGCTTTCTGTCTCTCTGTCTCTCTCTGTCTTTCTGGAGAATGCATGTGCCCTGTTGCAAAAACCTCTCAAAAAAAAATTATTATTATGTTACTATTATTTTTTTTTAAGTTGACCACAGAGAGAAAGAGAAAGTGAGAAAGCAAGCTACCAGGTCTGGGGCTTAAACCTTGGTCAGTCAAACAGAGTCCATTATCTTAACCACCATACCACCTACTCCATACTTTATCTTTTTTTTTTTTTTTTTTTCTTGAGAGAGATGTTTGCTATAGGGCATGTGTACTCACTGGAGAGACAAAAAGATAGAAAGCAAGAAATCATCTCCCCAGCAGAGTTGGCCATGTAGCAATCCCTTCTCCTCCATTCTCCTCTCCAGATTTTGGGCATCCATGTGCACACAACTGGCGTGAGTTTCAAGCCACCAGGTCCAGGATTCGAATCATGGTCTACTATATGGGAGTCCAGCGACCTAACCGTTACAGTCTGCTAGCCCCCATGCTCTTTTTTTTTTTTTTTTTTTTTTTTTTTTTTTTTTAACTATAGGGCATGTGTGCTAGCCAGAGAGACAGAGACAGAAAGCAAGAAATCATCCACCGGAAGGATGGCCACACTGCAGTCCTTTCTCCGCCACTCTCCTCTCTGGATTTTGAGTACACATGCACATGTGCCTTTTTTGAGTTTCAAGCGTCTGGGCCCAGAACTTGAACTGTGGTCAGCCAGGTGGGAGTACAGTGATTTAACAGTTATACCACCGGCTAGCCCCCAAACTGAACACACTCTTACCATATTATCTAGTAATCATGCTCCTTGAGTTTTACCCAAAGAAGTGACAAACTTTTACCTACCCAAAAATTCAAACATAGTTGTTTAGAGGAAATTTTGTTCCGAATTGCCAAAATGAGTATAGCTAAGCTATCCCTTATTAGGTTAATACATAAATAAATGGTGATTCATTCAGAGTGTGAAAAAATTTATTCAGTGTTTAAAAAGGCATGAGCCAGGCCAGCCCATGATACGTAGTTAAGGCAGCTGCACTAGATCTCATGTAGCTGACTGCCCAGTTTGGCTCCTGTACCCAGCAGCATGAGAAACACAATGAACACGAGTACATGTGTACCCCAAATTCTGAAATGAGAGAAAATGGGGCAGGATTCCAGAGTGATCATTCCCCATGAAGAAGGTGTTGTCCCTTTCCCTCTCTCTGTCTCTTAGGCAAACACACACACATTCTGGCAAAATTTTAAAAAGCAATAACAACGAAAGGAATGAGCCCTCAACACACACACACAATACAGGGAAAACTTAAATGCACATTGTTACTATATAATTTCAACTATACGTCATTCTCCTAAGGGCACAACTAAGGAAATATTAAAGCCATCAGTGGTTGTCAGAGCTTGTGTGAAGAGGGATAAACAGGCTAAGCATGGAGGATTTTAGGGCATTGAAATACTCTGTATATTATAACAAAGAGTAGAATATACAAATCCATAGAATGTACAAAAGCC